TCCTCCCTTATTAAAAGGATCTCCTGAGAAAATGTGTGCTGCATTCTCTCTTTAGGCTGTCTCAAGGTATTAAGAAGTGAAGACTCTGAAAAATTTGGTTAGGCAAGCTCTTTGGACTCCTGTATATTTTTTAAAAGCAATACTCCCAGTTAAGCTCGTGGCTTCGGGGCTGGGGTCTTACAGATACAAAGCATTTTGATTCTGCTCATGAAAGTCTTCAGTCAAGGGATGGTGGAACTCTTCTGTGAACACACTCAAGGTGGAAAAGCCTTTTGCTGAGAACATTGCTCATGGATGCACATCACTGCACGGGAGCTCAGAAGGGCCAAGCCTGTTCCACCTGAGAAGGTGGAAATGCGACTTTGCACACTGGGAAGTGTCATCTGGGTTTGGCAGGGAGTGAGGGCAGCTCCAGAGCCTCGTCTAAGGACCCATTTCACTGCTCAAAGTGTCCAAACCACCAGCAATGTAGAAATATTCAAGGTAAAGGGGCCTGTGAATAGTTTATGTGCTAAAGGTACCCCGATTCCAAAAGTTAACCGTGCTCTGGTGCAAGCTGTCTTCAGGCAGCACCTGAAGAACTTACTGACTGTGGTTTCTTCAGGCCTTGGTTCCTACAGTACTTGGGGTATTTTTCAGTCAATGTTGAGGAAGGGTGGAGGAGCTGGGAATGATATGGAAATCCCCTGAAAAAGGCAAGTTTTGGGTTCCTCAATATAAGTCTGAGCGGGCCACAGGAAAGATGACTTATTTCTGGTGGTGATGGTGGAAAACTTGGCACTGTGGACAGTTTTAACAATAAAAAGGCCTCTAATTTCATTTGAAAGTTGGAAATTGGGGGATGACCTCTTGGGGAAATGTGGTTCAAGACACTCAATAAAGCCATATAGCAGTGGTGATTGTGTCCATAAGCTCTTTATGTCAGTACAGTATGTACTTCATGTTAGTACAGAGAAGTATAGAGAAGCATCCTTGAGTGATATCCCATGAGAAGAGCTCTAGCTGAGATCCCACCAGTGAGCAATAGAGTCTGGTGGCAGTATCAGATGTTCCCTCTATCCAGTAATAAAGGCAATAGCCAGGAGAGTGCCAGGTCTGTCTGTTATTTTGATCCAGAGATCAGCTGTTAGTTGTTATCTGTGGGTAGGGCTGTAGTTAATGTAAAATGGTCTCTACTCAGGAGGGCCATCACTGTTCCCTCAAAGCAGAACGCCAGGATTCTGGTTCCCTTTTTTTGTTGGAGATTTTTCTGCTACTGAAGGGAATTACATCCAGGCAGGGGGTTTGGGTCTACTTCCCACAGGAAAAGAGTAGTCAAGTCTGTTCTGGTTGAATGCTTTTACAGATAATTAGTGTTGATTGAAATATGAACAGTCGATCCCGGAGAGCTTATTCCACCCACCCAAAGCAGATTTTTGGCACTGTTTGCTTTCAAGAAGGTGTTGTGTTTTCTGACTTCTGAAATGAGCATTTAATTTTTTAAACATCCCAGTGTTGTTCATTTTTCCATTGAAGAAATACCTCTGTTTCAGGGTTGTCATCAACGAGCTCTGGTCTTTTCTATGTGTAAGTGAAGGATCTGAATAAGCAGAGGTGTGGATATGTCTCTCCCTCTTCCTGTTTTAGCCTCTGCATACACTGGTGACAGTAGTGTTGTTGTCCTTTGCCCCCTCAAAAAAGGAAATAGCAGGCCTTTCTGAATCACCTTTTTGCCATTGTGCTTACACAGTGATGTCTTATCTTTTTCTCTTTTCTCTTTTTTTTTCTTTTTTTTGCTGTTACATCCCCACCCAATATCCCTCACTCTTATCTGTGCAGCAGCTCTGGTGACATTAGCTGTGTCATTGCTGTCTCTGTTCCTATTTGGTGGTATTTGATGTGATGTCTAAAGAATACTAATTTTCCTGTGCCTGACCATTGATGCAGGGACGTTCTCCTGTGGGAGGGCAGGCAGAGCCAAGGTGTAGCAGTTGTGTGGATTTTCTCCAAGGGAGGAAGGGAGGGCTGCTACATGTCCTTATGCTGCACCTCAGCATGGGGAGGCAGAGACTTCCAGCTGCACTCAGGATTAGCAGCCATTTGTTTCTCAGTTTCCTTTAGTTTCCTGAATTTAGTTCCTTGCACTTCTTCATTTCTTACCCTCAAAGTCACTGTCTGAATGGGGAGTGAGGAGTTGGTTCAGAGCTTATTTTTTAAATACACATGTAAGGGATGTAAGGGATTCTCAGCCCCACTCCCTCCACCCCCAGGAAGAGCACAGCACTGAAGTTATGGTCCCTCCACTTTCAGAGTAGGTGACACAAGTGACAGGGGTACGGTGAGAACCTCTTACCCCTGGATTTTACTTTTGCAGAGAACCTCCTGCTTGGAGGGAGAAGGACAGCCTGTAGCTGCACTGCTCAGTTAATCCCTGGCAAACTGACAGACGTGAGGTCACGAGCTGGGGACCTGAGTGCCATTTTGTCACTGCTGCCAGCACACCAAACAGAGCTGTGGCTTGGTGCCAGCTGTACCCGGTACAGCTTTGTCAACCCCTGCATCACCTGCCTTGATGCTACACAGTGTGTTTTTAGCAGCTGTGAAACAGGGACAGAGGCTCACGTGAAGAACTGAAAGGCTCTACCACTTCTCAGCACATGGACAGACATCTCTTGTTACTGAGGAAAGGAAACTGAGTTTACAATTAATTTTTTAATTCGTTAAAAAAAATGTTATGTACAAAAACCCCATGATAAACAGAGCAGCTCACCTGCTACAATGACCCAGATATTAAGCTGAGAAGGTCTCACAGAAACCATTTGTGTGCAATTCACTGAATACAGCATAAGGCAATAGAAAACAGGACTCAGGGTATTAGTGCTTAAGGAAAAACAAACCAAACAACCTGCCCATCAGGACTGTAAAAATAACCTGGTGGTGGACACGTTTGTCACTGAAACTTGGTTTCCTTTAGGAGTTACCAAAAGTGTCACTGGAGTCTGTGGTGATGTAGAAAGGTTTGGCACAGTGCAAAAGACAAACCTTTCTCCAGGAGGCTGCGCAATCATCAGTCAGGAGCAGAAGTGGAGAATGGGATAGTCAGAGGGAAAACGTGCTGGTACAACCTGTCAGAGCTGTGGTGTGGCTGGCAGGGTGGAATTGCATTGTGATTCGAGGGAAGGATGGTGCTGGAAATGAGCAGAGGTGGAAGTGAATGCCAAAAGAGGTGGTCAGCCTGCAAGAAGCTGGTAGTTTGTGCTGGAAGGAACAAGAATAGGCTGAAAGAAGAGGAAACTTGGAAAGTGTGAGACACCATTGCCCATACACCAAGTCCTGCAGTAGGGTCAGGCTGCCTCTTGGAAACACTCTGATTTCTGTCATTTATGTTCTGTTTGCAACCAGAACACACAAGTGCAGAGTATTGTTTCCTTATAACCCAGCTTATCTCCTTTTCTCTGTCAAAAACTCCTCTGTAAGAATGTTCTGGAATTCCCATTACACTTTGTACAATGGGAAAGCAGTAAAAAAAAAAAGATGGGACAAAACAACTCTGCAGGAGTAGAAGGGGAGCAGTGCCTTATTTTTTACTAGTGACTTGATCTCATAACTCAATATTCCATAAACCACTTTAATCTTCCTATTTTCTCCAGCAGTTTCTCTCACAATATGTACCCTCTAGAAAAAAAAGTGAAATGGATGGAATATGTCCTTGCTGTGTCCTAGGAAGATAAACAGCTCAGGCAACAATACATCCCACGGAGGTGCTTTCAGGCTTTGGTCTGCCCTGATAACATGCGTAGAGCACTAAGGGAATGGGTACAGCTTGCAGAGCAGAAGGGAAAAACATACCTGTAAAACTCAGGGCAGGGTTCAGTTAGGTTAGTATGCAGAGTTGCTTAGGAAGCTTGTTGGGGCTTTTTTTTTTCCTCCTTTCCCCTTAAAATGAGAAATCAATTTTTCCTACACGGTAGGCAAGAATGTCAGCCAGATCAGATGAGTCCTATCCAGTATTAGCATTCTGTAGGGAAAATCCTTCAAGTCCTGGCTGGGTAGAGAGAACACTGGCAGAAAGCAGCAACATTCAGTGCAAAGTAAGTCCTTAGGTTACTGTGAGAGACTCCCAAGAATCTGCAGAGCCTCCCCTAACAAGTGTCCCTAGGCAGAGGTACCAACACAAGCAGACCTATGTTTATGAAGCAAGGCCCTGAGTTACATTTCATTACAGTAGATATGCGAGATAACCACTGACTTTAACACAAATTTCAGTGGGGCTTTACAGGTGTGGGTAGGAAGGAATGCACATAAAAGCTCGTACATTTGTATGCACACGTGTGCCCTCACACAGCAATTTAATGGAGTGGCTGTGTTGGCTGGGTTGGCAAGGTCATCCTGTCAGGAGAGAAAGGCTGTGAGAACTTGTGCCACTGCTGTGGGTAAGCAATATTAGCTGGCTGTTAGCTGTGCTGTCAGTGTGTATCGTTCCCTAAAAAGTCTCATAGCACTGCAAATAAGCATGAGGCAGAGACTCACTTCCAAGGTGAAGTTTTTTTCATGAAAAACGTGAGCGTTATTGCCTCTTTAGGGGGGAAGTGACATACATCCGTAATGGTCAGGTTCAAATCCAAAGTCCTCCAGCATGAAGAACTCGTGTGAGGCTGAATATAAAAGAAGTTTTAGCTTCTCTGAGTCACAACATGGAGGCACAGCCTGACTTGAGCTTGTGTGTAGGGGTCTGGGGGGTCCCAAGGGGCAGCTCTGCGTTGCTAAAGGGGTAGGCAGGCCCCTGGTTCCCACAGAAGCAGCGTCAAAGCCAGAGGTTCCCAAAGCCTTGAACTGGTGTGTCGATGCCGACGACGTTCTTCTTCTGCCCCATTGCAGGAGCACAGAGGGTCCTCCCAGGCCGGGGTTCCAGTGACCCCGTTGTAACGAGAGCACCCCAAAGCTTCTGTTTGACTTCATTCACATGAGATTTTGTTGTCAGTCGTGTTTTCAGTCGTGGCAGCAGAGTTTTTCCTGCTGCTGCCATCCCCTTGCAGAGAGCCAAAGGGTCAATGCCACAAGCATTGCTGTACAACGAACGGCGGAGTCTGCAGTGCGGAATGCACGGGGTAAGAAACCTGAGGGATTCAAAGAAAAAATATTTACTGATTTTTTTTTTTTCCCCGCTCCTTCTTAATCTTAAACGTCGAGCGGAAATGTTGCAGAGCCGACAAACGGGTATACACCTGCGACAGCCCTCCACAAGAGGGCTCCTATTCCATAAAATCGGAGCTGCTCGGAGCGGCAGGACTGCGAGCGACGGTCCGGCTCGGCGCTTCCTGCAAAACCTTTGGAGTGTGCAGGGATGCTACCCCTCTGCGGAGCGAGGATGGCTGATGAATGCGCTGCCCAGTTTAAACAGCAGCGGGACGTGGCTCAGTACACCCTGCAGTTCCGAGATGGCAGTCGGCCACCAAGGAAGCACAAGCTTCCATCCCTGTCCACAGGCAGCAGCTGTCCCAGGCACTGGAGCTGGGAAACACCACCTACGGAAAAGCCTGACAAACTTTTGTAACAAAATAGAGGAATGTGGAAGAACGGGTTTGTTCAGCAGGTGAACTCCTGCCACTGCCATCACAAAACTCCCCAAAATTCAGGCTAACCAAGGCTCTAGTATCTGTCCCAGGTAGGGCCTTCCCCGGAGGAAAACATGAGTGGCTGTTCAGGTTTGGAAATGAGACGAGTGGCCTGAATGAGAGTTTCCCCTCCTTTCCACCTCAGAACTATTAAGCTTTTAGATCACTGCAGCACACAGCGTGACAAATTCGTGACTTGCAGGACTCCACAGCTGCTGCTCTGAGGCATTACCCTGGCAATTCCGTGGGCTAGGGTGAGAGCAGGAAATGCCATCACCTGGATAACGATGCGAATAAGAACAGTTACCTGCTAATCTTTCTTTCAAGCCAAAGACAATATAATGCTTTGTAATCATAAAACTTTGGCAAGCCAGAGCCTTCCCCAGCCCATCTTTTGCAACACCTCGTTATTGAAGGTAACTCCTTTTAAAATATGAGTGTTTCCTAGGCAAGTCTTAGGGAGGAAGCTTTTCCATTCCTCCAGCTGCTGAAGGGAATGGAGATATCTCAGAAGTGGACTGGCATAGCTGGTATTACTGGGAAAGCTGGAGTTGTTCTCTTGTTCACCCCTCCCTCACCACCATTTACTCAACCCTTCATTTCTATTACCAGTGATGTTTCCCACGTTTATGTATCAGATCAGGCTCACAGGGAATCAGCCAGAAGTAACTTCTAGGGGGCGAAGCCACATGTGGGACCTGTAGTAGTGATGAGCTACTTACAAATGAGTCCAAAAGGACAGGGACTAAAAGACTGCCCAGTTCTTAGTTGGGAAGTCCATAAAACGAGCAGGGCAGCAGCAGGGGATGTCCCTGCAGATCCTGATAGCTGGAGGACTGTGCTGCAAGCCCACCTCTCAGATATTAATCAGCTTCCTTGCACAGGTTCAGAGCAGACACTGACAGTCGAAGCTGTCAAATGTTCTTTTTCTTTCATCTCTCTGTCTCTCTTCATCCCTATTTAGTCCCAGAAATTTTATGTTCATTAATGAAATGAATGCCAAAGAAACTTACACACCATCCACACAGGGCCCATTCTATGGAAAAAGCAGCTTAGCAGCCCAACAAATTCAGTCCTCTAACGTTTTTCACTAGATTTTCACTAGAAATTTGAAATAACCCGAAAAAGCAATGCCCCACAAGGAATGTGAGCATCATTCCTCTGGTTACTTGACTGGAAAACACAACGTGTCCAGGTTGGGAATAGGGCCCTACTGTTGTTACTTACCCTAAAAGACAGCCCACGCTCATATTAAAAGGCACACGTGGTGTTGTGAGCTAACATGGCATGAGAATCCAGTGGTATTTGAGAAGCTATTTTGCCAAGAGAAGAGTGGTGAAGAAAACTACCTGCAAATGCAATCTGGTCATACAGATGATGTTTCAGATGTCACTTTGAGGCTCACAGGTGGCTTCGTACCTTCCTTCATACCCTCTTCCACCCGATCCTGGGGCTTACAACAGTGAGGACAAACTGAAATTTGGAATCAGAGAAGACATAAAAGTGATGACTCCAAATGTCTTCTTCAACAAAGTGTAACTGAGAGTGGGAAGAAAGGAGAGAAGAAATTAAAGAGATCCTTTAGGTCTAATTACTTCTATTTTAATTTGGCAGGACTCACCCCTGCAGTACATCCTAATATGCTTGGCCCATAGCCATAGGCTGATCTGATAGAAAGCTCTGTTATATATAAATATTATCAATATAGTGTCATATGGATAAAACAGTTCTCATTAGCAGAGGCATGGAACCTCAGCCTGGCACAAAGACAGGTTGCTACATGCTAAGATAAGTTAGAAGGGAAATAAAAGTTACACATCACTAAATGCAGTTTTCCTATCAAATGAAAGAATGCCGGTGTTAAAACCAACAAACTCTTTCAGTGCTTTAAAAGGACCTCAGAATAAACAAGTCCACTACGTATCTCAGCATCTCATGAATGACTTTTGTTTTAACTGTTCAGGTTGAATCTCTACTACCACAGCAAACTGTACTTGCACAAATCATGCAACATGAATCATAAGCCATTCTTTAAGTGACCTCTAATCTTGGTGCTCTGTGTTTGCATTCCTTAATTACTCTAAAGACAGGCTGTGAACCTCAACAAAGCATCTGCACCTTGTTTTGGTCACCACAACAATCACGCATCTGAGAACTCTTACTTCCGTTTCGCTCTGTCTTTCTATTCTTCCCTCCCACACTTCAGCTCTTTGAAGCATGGCCTTTTGAGCTCAGAAACCACTCAGCATCAAGGCAACTCCTGACTCAGCTTTCCATGGGCCAGAGCAACAGAGGTACTCTCAGACCTACTCTTGAGCTCCCGCAAGAGCCCTTGAAAGGTGACCTGCAGCAGCACCAGCAGGATACACTCTTAGGACAGGTATTTCCCTTCCCAGACAGGTGGCAACGCCCAGCAGCACTGAAATGGGACAACTATACAAACTGGGAAGTTGGATGGAAACTCTGGCTTCAGTTACTTACAGTGTACACTTGGGCTGGAAAGTGGCTGTACCGAATAGCACCACCTGACTTGGCAAATCCACTCCCTGTGCATATTATGCAAATGGGACTGAAAGGGAAATTCCAGTTTGTGCAGCCCTGTGCCATGCTGTTGCAGGTGATTGCATCCTACCACATGGGTATGCTTTTTACATCTGCTTTAAAAGCAATTTGGTCCCTATATAAAAGACTATCTCAGAATGCTCCGGAATCGTGCTAATTTAATGGTGAGGAACCTTTTAATTTCCAGCCAATATTTGTTTAGAGCCAAATCTTCCAATTCCAGTTCATTTTCTCCTATAATTAGAAGAGCATTATACATGCAGCTAACAGCACAGGCTGTGATCAAATGTGATTTTCTAGGTTTCAGCCTGCTCATTGCTTTCCCGTTGACACAGCCCCAGGGAACAGCAGGGGACAGCCAGCACTGGTGTCACAGGGGCACAGGAGTGGAAAATGAGGAGGTGCACAGGTGTAACCAAGAGTCACTGCCTTCCAGAAGCTTCCTTTCTTTGTGATAAAGCACTAAAAGGAAATCATCAGCCCAGCCTGACTCAGTGGTCATGCTGGTTTTTGAGGGGATGTGGTCGACGAGGAGGGGAAAAGAAAAATAGTAATGCAACCTCCACACCTCTGACTTGGGAGTGAACTTGTCTGAGTAGAGGTATCAGAACACACAAGCATGACAAACTTACAAGTGTCTGTAAGCAAACTGAGTCCTCGCTGTCCAGCAAACAGCCTTTTCCAAAGGGGGGTACCGCGGTGACCACGATGGGCTGGGGTGCTCAGAACTGGGGGCTCCCGGTTTGAGTGGCCTGAGCACAGAGCCCTCTCAGTGTGGGATTCTTGTCCCCACACACGGCTTCCCCAGTGCCCTGACAGAACTCGGTGTGGTGGTATTTATAATATGTTGCAAGGCCTGCTGTCATTCTCCGTGACTGCTCTGCAAAGCTGCTAACAGGGTGTGGATAAGACATCTCCTGCTGTTGACTTTCAATCCTAGCTGCCTTTATAAACCCATTAGATGTCTACCCACATCTTCAGGGGCTTTCTGGTGAGGTCAGCTTAGACATGATTAGGAGCAACAGCTAACAGATGAGATTTTTTGAGGGGGAAAAAAAAATCTACTTAGTTGCCAGCTAACCCTGAGGTGTTTGAGATCCCCTTGGAAAGCTCCTGGAGACACGTCTGGAGTTACTGAAGACTTCGTAGGGTGGGACCAGGCACCTCACCTGTGCCATTTTGGGCCACACAAAGAATACAAATCCAATTCTCCTGATTGGTGTTCTCCTAAAAGTGGGGCACTGCTATGCTGAAGTGTTTTCTGTGGCCCTAACACTATGTATTTTTGTTACTTCGGTTCAGAGACTATCTGAGGGATTGTCTAAGTAGGGTGTGGAGAGAGATCCAATTTTAAAACTCTCAGTGCTCAGCCATATCTATCACGATCACCAAAATTCTTGGCATCTGAAGGCATCTTAGGTCACATCCTAATACACGAAACTGAACCTCTGTGAATATCTTCATTTCTGTATACCCCTGGTTTTGGAAATATTCTGATCTGCTGGCAAAACTCCCCATCACCCTTTCACTCCCAAACCTGAACCCTTGTGCTGCCTGCACACAAAATGTAGCAAAGTCATGAGCTAGACTTAGATTTTGTGACAGTGGATGCTGAAATAAAAAAAAAAAAAAAAGGAAATGAGAAGAAGGTAGAGAAATACCTAATGTGGCAGTATAGTTTCTATAAATGTGTATCTTAATAGAAACATAAGCAGTAAGAGACAGTTTCTTGAAAAAGGAGGTACACTTACCACGCCTTGGGAGGTATCTTGCTGCCAGGATGATTGCCAAAATGAAGGTGATAACAACAATGCTTGAAGCAGTAATGACATTATAAGGTGGAGGCACAGGAGGAACAACACAGTCATTTGTTTTTTCTGAGGCAGGAGAAATAAAACATAAAGGACACAACGACTTATTGTCATTTTCACGTGAGAGCAGGTACGTGAATTTTGGTGGCTCTGGCTAAGTTCTAACTCAGGGATTCAGCCTGAAAATGGACCTGTTCAATAAACAAACGAGAAAAGCTGGTGCCTTAATTTCTTCCACTTTGCCGCATTTGCTCTGTGCTGAAATTTTTAAGATATCCACAGAGTGTGAAATGCTGGGGTTTTGTCCAGAACAGAACTGAGACAGGCAATATTTGAAAACACATAAGCTGTTTTAAAGGAAGTATTTGGGCTTGGTGGAAGAGTCTGAGTCCGCAGCTAGAAAATTTCCATTTTCAAAGCTACCCTGCAGTTTTCCATACTGTTTTCATCAGATTTATGCCTAATTCTCTTCCCTTTGGATTCAGAGGTGAAGGAGAATGATGCATTAAACGGGCTAGAACAGACTTGTTTTTTCTGTGTGGCAGGAAAACAGTGTTGTGGCAGAGTTCAGCTTCAGTGGATCCAGAGCCTTTGGCTTTTCACCACAGGAGATGACATTCCACTGCTGGGATATAAGAGCAGATACCAGGCCATTCCTGTACACTACAGGACAACCCTAATTCAACAGGAGGGACAGACTTGCTGCATGTCTGTAGGTCCCCAGAGCTGTGTGAACAGATCTTCAGTTTTTCATCATCTGCATCTGGCAGAGTTGAGCATCATTCCACGTCTAAGACACTGGCCTGATCTGCTGTACAATCTTTCCCCCCCACTGTAGGGTTTGCCTCCTGTGTTTACCAGAGGCTGTATTCTGCCTGGAAGTCTGTTCATGAAAGACTTGTCTAAAGGATCAATTACATCATCCCATAATGGGAGCGGTTCTATATCTTAAAAATCAAAAAGCAGGGGGTTTGTGACTGCTGTGACTGTGTCGCTGTTGATTGCACCCTCCTCTGAGAATCTGTGTGACAACAGTGTATTACTATTATTGCTTTTTTTTTTTGTTGCTCTCCTTTTCTATGTAGCATGATATTCATAACCTTCTTCCATTAGCATCTCTAGGGACATTATGCACTACATGCAGCAATAACCAATATTCATAAAGCACTGGTTCCTGGCATTTGTTCTGAAGCTGAATGGCACCTCTCCCCACAAGCCCCTTTGATTTTAGTAAGGTAGATGAATAAGCTGCCTTGATGAATAAAGTACAATTCCCTAGGAAAAATAGCACTTCTCTATCTTCCCCTGAAGGTGCCCTTATCTCTACAGTAAAAACATCAGACCCACAGACATTTCAGAACACTTTTTTTCGGTAGCAACGTTAAAAAAAAAATCCTTTTGGCTTTAAGAATTTTCTGGCAAATCCCCTTCTACTGCAAAACATCTGGACCGTAGTATGCTGCCTTCCCTCATGCTGTTTCGACTTGTGCCTCAAGCTTTTCAAAGCACAGAGTTATCTATTATGCTATCACTTCTAAGCCAGGCTCAGTGATGGAATTCTTTTCGTATGAGTTAACCCTATATTACATTTAAAAGCAGAATTTTGTCTAGACCCCAGCTGAACAGTTTCTTTCACTGAAGCAGGGACAAACATGCTTGTTAAATGAGGAAATTCTTTTCAAGTGCATCCCGTGGCTTTTAAAGCACAAATACCATTCAAATACCAGGTCTGTGTCATGCAAGTGGCAGCAGGACTGTGCTGGTGCAGAGAGGCACTGGATGGTGGCAACCCCGACCTGTGGGAGCAACTGAGCCTGATATCACCAGATCACAACAGGATTCAATTGCCTTCTCAGCCCAGCTGTGACAGAAGAGCAGCAGGAAGACAAAGCCATCACCGCTCGTCAGTCACTGTTGCAACTCTCCCTTCCCACCCCTGCTGTCTTACAGCCTTTGAAACATTTTGGCGCACAGCTCACAGGTGGGGTCGTTGTGCCATCCTTGTGTGAACAGTTACACAAAACGGTTTTGTAACAAAAAAAAACATTAATAGCACATACCCAGAAGGAAACTGGTGGACTTGGCCAAGCCGTCGTATTCAACGGAGCAAGTGACGTTGGCGTCGCTGGTCACGTTGAGCACCAGCGTGCCGGTGACGTTGTATGGGCTGAGGCTGGACTCGGACACCCAGCTGGCATTCCACTCCACAGACACGTTGTTGAGGGCTCCAGAGATTCTGGGTTTGGGGAAACCTCCGTGAGAAGAGCACACTACCACCATCTCGGCTGATTCGCAGGAGCTAGCGGTCACCTCTGCTGTTACGCTGGGCTGGCTGAAGTCGGCTGAAGCAAAAGAGACTCGGTTACCATTCCGTCAGATCACAGCGAGGGTTGCAGTCCCCATCACCCACAGTCAGAGCAAAGGCTCCCCCACAGGGCATTCTCCCCCTGCCATAATTTAATTGGCCTCTTGTGCCATATTGCCAGTCAGAGAGCTGCAGCAGGTTGCTCAACTCACTGCACAATGGTCCTTTTTGGAGCAGCTACGGTTTCAGTGTGTGTTTGCTCCCTGCCTGACTCATCGTGTGACCACGTGACTGCTGGGATCTGCACAGGGCAGATTCTGGTCCTTGGTGTGTCCTCCATGGCTTCTGCTGCCCATAAAGCTCTGGGATACCAAGTAACTTTTAACTAGTGAAAGAAACTTGCTCAACACTGTGTGGCTGACCAGTGGCGAGCAAGGAGAGACACAGATTTCCCTCCAAGCCCGCTGTCTGTTGAGCAATATGACACTGCCATCCAGTCCAGAAAGTCCCTTCAGACATCCCAGCCTGCTTCCAGCAGGGATGAGGGAAAATTTCCCTTTCCTGGTCCCCAGAATAACCGATCCCACTTTACCAAAAGGAGCAGAAGTCTACCACAATTGTTACAGCTGGCCTGCTAAGACAGCAAGGGAATTTCTGGAAGGAAAGAAACTGCAGTATTTGTGGCCAGGAAAAGAGATCCGTAGTTTCATATTTTTCATGCAGTTAAGTCCTCAGCCCTCATGGTTAGAGAAGGTGCTGGCAGTGCACTTCCCTTTTTTCATATCAGTTCCCAGAAAGAACACTAATTTTGTCTCCTTGCACGTATGCCCACCATGCCCTCAAACAAGCAGGCAGTGGCCAAACCTCAGGAGCTGGTTTGTTTTTCAGTTTTGTTGATCTCCCTTCCAGATGGGGAATGCTCCTTCACTGACTTGTCTGGGAGATTCCTGCAACTCTCTGCTGTTAAAGGTATTCAAAGGTATGTATATATTTATATACATATAAATATATATATATATGTATATATATATTTATATATGCCACCAATATCTCTATCTTCAGCTGAGACCAACCACCACAAAAACAGGGGTGGAAATGGAAAATAATGTCAGTGGAACTTTTTGTGGTTCAAGTTCATTTTGAGCAAAGGAACTTGGTTTATTTAAGGTAAAAATACTCAGATCTCCAACTGAGTTCAACCTTAGGCTGCGGAGCTGCGGTGCAGCCAGTGAACTGGCCAGCCCCCAGAGAGCCTGGGCTTCCCAGGGGTTTGGATGCAAGCCTGGAATGCTGCTGTGGCCACCTCCTTCCTCTTTCAGCTTGGATGCTTGCCATGCACCAAGGGCTTGGTCTGACTTTGCCCAAAAGACATCAGGGGCTGCCTAGGGGACTCACCAGCAGTGGTACCTGGGGAGGGGTCCTGGGAGGGGTCCTTTCACAACAGGGAGGCATCAGGGGGAGGAGGTTGGGCTGGTGGTGTTAAAGCCAAACTCTCTGTACCTGGGGTAGCTTTGGAAAGTAAGCAGGGAGACTGCTAGAATGGAAATACTTAACACATCTTCCATCACTCTTTTAGGCTGCCTGATGGAAGCCTGTCTGCTCCACTACGATAAAGCTTGGAGGGGTGTCCTTTACCCCCAACAGTTGGCACTGGGGGATGTCAGGAGACAACCCACCTACCTGTAACAAAGAGGGTGAGGCTCTCGTCACACACAACAACGGAGTTGTGCTGAACCACACACTGGTAAGTGCCATTGTCCAGGATTTCCATGGGGGAGATCCACAGGATGAGGTCCCAGGGGTCCATCTCTGTGCGGTTCCTGTACTGCTCGTCAACCTCGATCATCTTCCCATCAGAGTAGGCCAGCACCACCACCGTCACTTCTGGAAACTTCTTCTGCCAGTAGGCCCGGTAATTCTGCAGGCTTTCTGAGCGCGGGATTTCACGGCAGCAAGGCAGGCTGACCTTTTCCCCCAGTTTGCTTCTGACTACTCTCTTCTCCAGTGCTTGGCCTGCAGGTGAGGGGCAAACAAAAGTCAGTGAGACAGTGGTATGGCCTCGTGGCGGGACCTGCTGCCCAGAGCTCACCTCTTTTGGCTCTGTCTGCACCCACTGAGTTTACAGCTCGATTTACAGCTTCAGCTCTGCCCTGAGGGAAGGCCTCCCTTGGCACTGCCTTTTCCATCATGCTCCAGTCCTGCTGTCCTAGTTAGAACAGCTGGGACCAGTTCATCACTGTATGGGTGTAACCCAAACTGTGTATTCTATAGCCTTCCATGCCATTTCCCAGAAACTGGTAACAATAGACCATTTACACCCTCTGCCCAGAGCAGCCTGACTCCTCAGGCTATAAACTGGGTGTTAAGAGGCCCTCGAGATAGGAGGGTGTTCCTGTCCTCACACCCCACCCTGAGGGAGGTACTGGGCATTCCTGCTTGAACTGGAGGATATATATAATCTTGGAGTCTTGGGACTTTTTTAACCACTGGTGGGATCCAGAGGAAGACTGCAGACCACCACTCTCAACCAGACTGCAACCACCACTCTTGACCAGACTGCAACAGCACTCTCACCAACAGGTTTTTCCCTCTCCCTTTACTTTGGACTCAGGGGGCCCAAAGAACACCATTCTGTTCATGCTCCAGAGTGCTGGGTTACACATTTGAGTTTTGTGGGTTAAAACCAATTGTTCGTCTGTATAATCGTATTTATTGTATTATTTTATTAAATTGTTATTCTGACTTATAATCTCTCTTTTGAGTTGGGTTCATTTGCCCTGCCGGTTTACCTTTAAACCAGCACGCCTGCTTAGGATCCTGAGCTGGTGGGCACACAAGAATTGCTGCATGGACTGCTGAAGGCAAAGGCAGGAGGAGTGTTACCTGCCTGAACAGGAATTTTGCTGACCCCCTTAAAAAAACCACACCTCACTGTCAAGAATTGCCATTATTCCTGTAAAGGGATAGAAACGTACATGCACAAACTTCTGTCTCCTCTGCTCTCCCTTTGCAGAGCTCGGTGTCCAGAAAATCTCTGTCACTCTCTGGTGGGTTCCCTGCATGCCCAACAGGGCCACAATGGACTATTAGCTTTGGGGGATTAGGGCTTTATTGGAAGTTTTTTGGTTTGGGATTTTTTTTTTTTTTGGTAAGAGACGAAAAGCCCAAATTTTCAAGATCCCAGAAACTGGAAGTAACCCCACAATGATAAACAAAGGTTACAGCCACAATGTCATCAGCCTTCTAGTATTAGCAAACAAACAATTTTGCCTAGTCTAACTAAAACAAGTTTATATTTTTGAAGGCCCATGGGCCTCCCTTGGGATGACTCGGAGACCAGCACAGATGTTCCCCAAGTCCTGCACAGTGACCGTGCCACTGCCACACCTAGACTACAGGCATGTGCCTACAACAACAAGCTGAGACCCTTGCAAGGGTGAAATAAGGTACAACTGACCCTGAGATTAGCTCAGTTGGTTAGAGCATGGTGCTAACGACACCAAGGTTGTGGATCTGATCCCTGTATGGGCCATTCGCTTCAGACACTTGTGGGTCCCTTCCAACTCAGAACATTCTGTGCACTTTGACCACATTAGCAGTAATCCCCCTACTTAGCACTGTTACTATCACGCACTCCATTCCCATGAGCAGCCTTGCTTTCCCATTCCCTCCTCTTTCCAGTGGGTAAGTGCTCACAGGGGCCAGGACCTGGAGGGAGCAGCCTACCAAAGAGCTCCTGCTGCTGCTGAAAGGTGACCCAGCATTAATGCAAGGTCCTGTGCTGCAACAAGGCAGATGGCTGAGCTTTCGCCTGAGTTGGTGCAACCCTGGGGATGATGTGTACCCTGCTGTGTTAGTCCAGAAGGTCGAGTCACTTCACACTTTCCCTGGTTGCCTCAGCCTCGCTACCTTAGCGCTCATCTCCAGTGGTGGGATATCAATCCATTCCTGCTCTCATCCACTGATGAGAGCAAGAAAACAAGGGAAAACTGGCTTCAGGACAGAAAAGATTCAGATTCCTTCTTCCTTCCCTGCAGAACACATCTCAGTAAACATGCTGGAGAGGGGAAGCAGGAAAGTCCTGACAGGCGGAGTGTCACTGATGGGGACAGTGCAGCATCACCACTGGCGGAGGTGAGAGCCCACGTGCAAAGTCTCTGCCTGATGCATGAACTGAAAGCTTGACAAAGCTGAGCCTAATAACTGCCACCCTCCCAACAAAGTCTAGCTGGTGCTGGCTCACACTTCATAGTCTCTAAGATTCTATGAAATAAGCCTCTCCCCTGCAGCACAACTACCCCTGTCCCGCTTCGCACAGCTTACATTAAATCTGTAGGAAACACACTGAAAAAATGCTGTGGAGGTCCTGGCAACACTATGGCATGTTTTAATATTAATTAATATTTAATTAAATTAAATAGAATGCAATTAAATTAGCAACTTCTTATTTGACTGGTTTCCCTCCACTCAGCCGCTCCGTTGATCTTGCAAAAGGAAAGATTCAATTTCCCCACACGCACACACTACCTGCACTTCCCCTTATAATGTGTTGCAGATTCTGAGCAACCAAGCCCACTCTGCCCTCTGTCAGCCACAAATTGGCAGCAAAAAGGTAGAAAAACTAGTTCTTCCACACCACCTGGGATAAGAACTGCCATGTCTTGCCAACCTCTGGCAGCCTGAAATTTAGGGATTTCTTGACATCAGCAGTTCAACTGCTACTCCTTCAGGAAGAGTTCTTGCCCCTTCAGGAATGTATATATATTTTTGGCTTTCAAAACATCTTGTGGTGAGGAATTGCATAGTTTGATTACATGGTGTGTGAAAAAGCATTTCCTCCTGTTCACCTTAAAAGCAACCAGCTTCAGGCTGTGACTCTTGAAGTTCCTTCTCCTCTTTGTCTGTGTGCATTTGTGTGTGTGCTTCTTCCCTCGACCACATCAGCTCAGCTCCTATTACTGTTGGAGAGACTCAAAAGAGCAGCCAGTCAAACAGCCAGTCAAACTTTGGGATTGTGGAGCCTGATAAAGACCATTTTCTATTTTCTTTTGTGGCAACAGGGGAAGAGTGGGCGTACAGTAAATGTCAGGGTGACATCGCATCATGGGTTGCATGAGGTTCTTCGTACCTTGCCCCTAAGAGTCTCCTTTGCAACCAAAAGGAGAACAAAAACCTTTTCAGCAGTACATGTGCAGGGGCTGGAAACTCCTGCTGATGTCACGTCTACCCTTAAAAGGCTCTGCAGCCCTTGAAACTGCAACCTGAATGTTGCAAGCCTGAAGGAACCAAAGTCTACGGAGAGTCATTCAGCCTCACAAAAGTCCCCTTTCGTTTTAAAGGTGAACTGCAAAGCAAAAATGAAAATTCAGTTCTCCCCCATTTCTGTGCTGAAGGCTCTCTGCAACCAGTCTGTGGGGAAGGTATTCACCGTGGAAATAATTTTTAATGAATTTTCTAGGAAAAAAAAGATCCCTTCTCTTCCCACCCCTCTGAAGCCCACCCACTCCCTTACTGTGCACACACGTCTCTCTGTCACTGCAAGCCCGTGGCGTGTGCCAACACTGAGCTGATGAAAGGGATGACTTTCTGTTCCCTGTGCAGAAAAACATGTTTCATTCAAACTGTGCCTGTGCTGCAGATGCCCCACACAGCAGGGCTCATCAGAACAGAGAGGTGAGTGAAGAGGAAAATCATGGGTTCTTGTTTGCTCCGAGAGTCAGCAAGCAGGAGAGCTCTACAGTCTCTCGTGTCCCTGTTTCCTTCATTCTTTGCCCCAGGCCTTGACTCAGAATTTCCCCAGCCACAGAGAGCTTGGGATGTTTGTGGCACATGCAGCCGCACAGTACAGGAGAGAGGGTCGCCTCTGGGACAGAAGTCCTGCAGAGACATTTGACAGTAAAGGGCAGCTAAAGACCTAGCAAAGCTCTAGAGAAGCAGTGCCAAACTGTTGGAAACCTTCAGATAGGTCCTGGTGAACAGAAGCTCCAAAGCCATTTTCTCTCCCCTGCGTTCCCCATTTCTCTGCCCTTCTCAGCTGCTTCGCCTTTATTTGCTCTCACCTTGTGTTGCCTCGCTTTGCACACAGTGCACAAAGCAGCACACATGAAAGGAAAAGTGGGCCTGGAGTCCCTTGCCAGCAGGTAAGACAGTGGATCTGCACATCTTTTTGGCAATCAGTCCTGCAAAAAATTCTAAGGCAAATTGTCAGCGGAGCTCCAAAACCGAGAGGGTAAAACCAGCCTTGCTTTCTTTTTTTTTTTTTCCCCCTTCAAGTTCCCTATTTGTCTTTGCAACAGCAGCTGCTATCTCTACTCATAAATTAATGGCATCACTGACTTTGCCTAAGACCATGCACTCCCACTCTGCCTGGGCACTGACACCTTCCTCCCACTCCATCTGTGTGTGGGTTGAAACAGGGACTTGGGGAAGCTCTGGGAGGAGGTGCACAGCATGTGGTGGTGAGGTAAGGGCACTTCTGGTAACTGGGGCTGGGCTGGCTGAGCAAAACCCATCCTGTGGAGCTTCGCTTTTCTCCTGGTGGCCATCCCCTGGGACCGCACAAGAACCACACTTAGCAGTCCTCAGGTAACTGTGCAGATCAGGCACCTCATTTTCTGTGAATTGCACATTCGCCCCAAACTTGCATGATTTATCCCTTGAGGGCAACGCAGTATTTTACAGGGATTTCCAAGCAAGACAGATAATCTGGGGAAAAAATAAGACATTTTTAAAAGCTGAGCCTTTAAAAGACTAGACACTCCCCCTTGGTCTCTTTTTTTTTTCATCCCAGGTGATTCTACCAAGGAGGAATGAGATTCTCTCAAAGCTTTTCCATGGAGTCCTGTGCTACACTGCAATACGTGAAGAAATGCTTTGTATTTAAGTCAGTGCTATGATGGACTCTTGTGAATACAGTGATCACAGCTGCCCAGATAACCTCTGTGCTCCTTCCACACAGACTCCACTCTGGCAAGTTCAGGCATGCAAAGGGAGGCCCCGGCAGGCAGAGAGAA